GGGGAGCTGTTGCATTGTGGTAAACTGTGGTCAGTGTCATGAGACAAAGTATATGTGAACCGCTGTATGGAAAGTGAATTTGCTCTGTAAACCTTCACCCAAATTACAATAAAAAAAAAAGATAAACAGTGTTCAAAAATAGTTACCTGTTTGAGTTCACTTTTGTCAGAAACATAGATTTGTATAGTAGAGGAGCCAAAAATCATACCTACTGCCATCAAGTTGATTCCTATTCATACTTGCCCTATAGGACAGAATAGAAACAATGGGGTTTCCAAGACTGTAAATCTTTACAGAAGCAGACTGCCACATCTTTCTTCTACTGAGCAGCTGGTGGGTTTGAACTGCTAATCTCTTGGGTGGCTGTTGAGCACTTTAACTACTATGCCACTAGAGCTCTTTTGTAGAGGAGCGAGAAGATCTAAATGACTATTTCCTTTCTCACAACTGTTCAGTCATTTTGTAATTCATAGTATTAAAGCCTGGATATAGTAGTGATTCTTGTAATTCAGTGTGATGCATCAGCAACTTTGGAATTTGTCAGTAAAACTGATAATACATATTACCAATATGATGTTTAATAATTGTTTACTGTCTATATTTTTCTTACATAGGAAGTGTCAAAACTCCGCTCTCAGCTTGCTAAGAAAAAGCAGAGTGAGACAAAACTTCAGGAAGAATTGAATAAAGCTCTGGGTATCAAGCACTTTGATCCTTCAAAGGCTTTTCATCATGAAAGTAAAGAAAATTTTGCCCTCAAAACTCCATTAAAGGAAGGTAACAAATGAATAAATGTATCTTCTTGTTTTAGTTTTGCTTTCACAGCATTTAGCAAGTGAGCCATTTTTTTTTTTAATGAACTGTGAAAAGCTACTGACACCTTCTGATAGAAAAGAAACTCTTAATGAGATTTTTGTATACATTCCTATTTCTTTCCTTCTTCCCTACTCTTTCTTCTCTTATGTCCGAATCCTACCTATCCTTCAAGCCCAATTCAAATTACATCTTCCCTATCTGATTTTATTATTATTATTTTTTTTAATCCTAACAGACTAACCAGAATTATTCCTTCTATAATATACTTAGCATTTTAACCTAAATGTCTGTTAGGTCCTTGATTATATTCTAATCTGTAGTCTAGGGAAAGTAGATTTTTTTCTCTCTTTCTTGACTGAATCTGTTTTTCACAATCAAAATTGTAATAAAATAGTTCAAAATAGTTGAAATAGCAAATGAGGAAAGAGAAATAAAATTATGCTGCAGAATACAAACCTTGCTTGATATGTGTTAGAAAAGACAGAAGATCTGTTTTTAGTTTATAAAATTTATAAATTCATTCCAATTTAGAATATTAATACCTCTTTTTAATATCCTTCTAGGTAATACAAACTGCTACTAAACTGTGGAGTTTCAAGAATCATGCAAGTAAACACCTGCAAATCCTGTTGAAGATTATTTTATTTTTTATTACTGTTATTATTAATATTATTATTATTATGTTTGCAATGTGTTTTACATAATGCTGTGTCTAATTTTAACTGGCTATCTTTATATACGTGGAAGGAGATTCAACATTTTTACCGAAATTCCTTCTGACATTTCATTTTCTATTGTAATTACCTCTTTGATGCTCACATTTATCAACTCATTTTAAACCTTCTACTGAACTTCTACTTATAATTCATTGCATCAAATCAATCTTCCTTTAAAAATCAGCATCCTATCATTATTCCCCTATCAGAACCTTAGATGGTTTCAGGATTGTAATCTCAGGTTTTTTAGCTTGGTACTAGAGGATTTTTTCTGCATCTACATTTTTAGCTAAGCTAAAGGACCTTGGTTCGGTCTTGCCTACACCTTGATTCCCCTAATAATGTTCATTCTATCTCACATATCATCTACTTACTCCGTTCAAACAGGAAATCAGGACTAATCTAACTCCACAGCAGTCTCTTATCTCTTACAAGAGTCACTGAGGAGGTTCAGTAATTTAAGGCCCCATCTCAAATCTGCTAAATTAAAGTCTGAGGTTTGGCCTATACATCTGCTCTTTTAAGAAACTGCAGTTTGTTCTTAGATAGGCTTAAATCAGAAAAAACTCTTATTGTACCTACTTCAGAAATTTTCTTCTGCTACTTGTCATCTGGCTGTCTACTGGGTGTTTTGTTAATATTTGTGTAATATGAAATAAAAACACACAGTAAGTTACTGACACATCAACTTACATTTTATGAAATTACTTTATGCTTCTGTTTCAGGTTTATTTCTTATCTCTCTGTTCTCCACTTCATTTATCCCTGGTATCACAAATGATAGCACACTATTTGGAAAGTGGTAATTCTCCCTCTAAAATGTCTAATTTGCACAGTTGGTAGGATATTATAAGCCATCTTTGTGTTTTGTAATGTGTCCCCATTGATGGCCCAACAGACACCATCACAGTCAGAATAGCTTTTTTATTATTTTATTAAATTGTGATATATAGTGTAATTTTAAGATGTGCGTATTTAAGTTCAGAGGAAATATAGAAATCAAAAAATTTTGTCTGATAAAATCAAATAGCTAAAAACTTCACTTTTAGCTAAGATGGAGTAATAAGGATGGGAATGATTGCTACTACTGCTCCCCTAAACACATGTTTAAAACAACCAAAAACTAGATAAAATATATAAAACAATGACTTTCAAGACACTTTGCGACAGGCAATGAAAGATAATAATCATAAGAGATGAGAAACATTCAAGGTTGCCCCCAATTTACTACCTTGAGAGAATTTCCAGACTGTAATACGGGGCAGAGGAATGTAGGCAGAGTCCCAAACTACCTGAGTTGAAAAAGATCTCAGCTGAGATGTAGGGATGCTCAGATGGGTAGAGTTTGCAGGACAAGTACCAGAAAAGAGAGAATTTCACAGGGAGATAACTCCAGAGACTTACAGAGGGTTCCTCTGAATTATTCACCAGAAAACTGACCAACACATACATGAGGAAACTACCTAAGGCCTGGGAAAGAACCACCCGAAAGGATTAAAAGTAGTAGGGCCTGAAACTCACACAAACACAGAAATGCTGCTGGTTCTAGTCATAAAATATACCCAATATTTTATTTAAGATTTGCTCTAAAAGAAATGAAATTGCATTGTTGCATCCTATGGAAGAATTTGAGCTTTGCTTTCGATAGAGAGTGTGTTTGATTTTTAATTACTAAGGGAAGAAAATCCTATAAGGGAAGATAAATCCCATTTTAAAAAGCATTTTCTAAAAAGAACATAAGTAATATGAAGAAGATAATGATTTTTTCCCCTTATGAGGTTGTAAAGAAAATGAAGCAGTTATTAGGAGGAATCAGGGTACCGTGTAAATGATGATTTCAGACTAAGAATATCTAGTACCAAACTACTTTTTTCACCAATCCTGCCATCTCCACCATAATCCTTTAATTATGAAGAAATAACCTCCTCTTCTATCTCATTATGTAAAATGTCAGATTCTATTTGTCAGCATTTTTCATAGATATATGGAACTGTTTTGAAATGTATTCTAAAATTTTGCTTATCTTTCTAGCACCAATCCAAGGTGCCTATAATTTCTTAAAAGTACCTAATCTAGAAGACCATATATTGGGAGTTATTCATGCATGGTTCATGCTTCTGACCTAGACCTTAACCAATCAAATTTATTCAAATTTTCCTCTTATTGCATGTAATATCTTCCAGAGGTGGCCTGTGATGAGGCGGAAGTGACACTATGTACCTTGAGAAGTTAATTCATCTGTATTTCTGTGGAAATGAATTATCAAAAATGTAGTAACTTAAGACAATGTAAACTTCCTGGCTTACAGTTCTGGAGGTCACAAATTCAAAAGGAGTCATATAAGGCTAACATCAAGGTGTTGGCAGGACTGGTTCCTTCTGAAGGCTCCCAGGAGGAATCTGTGTCCTTGCCTTTTCTAGTTTCTAGAGGTCACCTGCATTTCTTGGCTCATGGCTCCTTTCTGCATCTTCAGAGTATATCACTTCAGACTCTGCTTCTATGATCACTTCTCCTTCTCTGACCCTCCTGCTTCTCTCTTATAATGAACCCACCCAGATAATCCAGGCCCACCCAAAATTATCCAGGATAATTTTCCCATCTCAATATCTTTAACTTAATCACATCTGCAAAGTCCATTTTGCTAGGTTCCAGAGATTAGAATGTGGACTTCTTTGGGGCCCTATTCTGTCTACCACAGTCATCAGAAGTGACACACCATTTGGCTGGTGTTCTTGGACATTTGTTCTTGGAACTGCAACACATACTGTGAGAAAGCAAGACAGGCACACAGAAAGGCCATATGTTCCAGTCATAGTCCCAAATAAATGTTTATTTATTTTACTAAATAAAATCTACATTCAGAGAATGTAATCAACATTCTCTTTTCCAATCTAACTATGCTTGTAATGTCAGCTAACAATTCTATTTCTTTCTCTCTCCCATTTTTAATTTTCTTCAAACATCAGACTTCAGCACTGCCCTCAGAAGATGACGTCAACTCTTCATAAAGAAAACAGAAACAATTAATGATAGAATTTTCTTGAAAATGTGGAATATTCAGTAATTTTGGGATAACTTGCTGTTCACATGGTGGGGGAAAGAAGTGGCATCCTTTCACTTTCAAAGCAAAAATAAATTCCAGATTTACATGTAAAGGAAAATATAAAAATTAGAGAAAATGTAGAAGAATGTCTATGATTTCAAAATGAAAAGATTTTCTAAAGAAAACTAGACAAAATAGCAGTGATTTCATGAAAACAAGAATTTGAATGCTGAAAAAAAATCCACAAAGTCAAAAAACAAATTGCAGAAGAGCCTATGACAGGCAAAGAACAAATTTCCTGTTAAGAGACTGCTATGGTTCAGTGGGGGAAAGTCTAATACTCCAAAAGCACATGCAGACAGAACATAGAAAAAGAAATTCAAATGTTCTTTATTTTTGAGAAGATAGTCAATCTTACTCATTATCCAAGTAACCATGAAAAATAAAATGAAATACCAATCTTTTCATCAACATCATTAACAACAACAACAATCTTTTCATGTCAGATGGATTAAGATCAAAAACTGTGATAATACACCATCGGTGAAGATGGGTGACTTAGTTCTCTAGTGTTGCTATAACAGGAATACCACAAATGGATGGTTTTAACATACAGGAATTTATTCTTTTACAGTTTAAGAGGCTAAAAGTCTGAATTCAAGTACCAACTCTAGGGGCTGGGTGAAAGCTCCTTTACCTTGGCCTTCAGCTCTGCCTATTGTTCCAGGCCCACTGGAGCAAGCTAGAGGTTTCTTCTGACTCGTGCAGCTACTGGCTGCTGAGACTGACGAACTCAGGGTTAGCAGGTAAAATGGTACAATCCCAAGATTGGCAGGCAACACGATAGACTACTGGTTCAAGTCCAGGAACTGGAGATAAAAGACTTGGCCAAATGCAGAATCCAAAATGTGCCAAAAGGTAATGGCCTTTCAAAAAAAAAAAAAGGTAATGGCCTTTCCCAAAGCTGTTCCATATGTACTAGAAGCAGATTTCACTAATTAACATCTCACTGCAGATTCCCTGTGGAGTTGATTATACCATACTCAGTCTCATCATGGGGAATAACTACATCCAGATGCCATGTCACTCAAAATCACAACCCAGCCAAGTTGACACACACAACCTTAACTACTCCTGGGGAAAATGGCGTATTATACACTGTAATTGAAATCAATCTGACAGTGTCTGCTAATGTTATAAAGCATGTGTTCTTTGACTCAGATTTCTCCTCTAGGACCTTATCCTTCAAATACCTGTACAAAGATTTACATGTAAGAATATTACCTGCAGAATTGTACTTAATGTACAGAAAAGGACTTAATGCTTTAGCAGAAGTGTTCTTTCCTAATTAAGGTCTCATCAGAATGTAATTAGGACTGTTGAAGGAGGAGGAGTGAGTCAGGTGAAAGAGATGAGGAATATGAGGATTCAGAGGCAAAGGTGTTATCAGAAAGTTGATAGAGTTAGGCACATTTGAGATACTGAAATTTCAGTATCACCAGGAAAACAGTAATGAGAAGTTAAACTGGAAGAGTAGGAATCACAAAGACCAAAAGCATAAGAAACTTGATCTCTAACCTGAAGACAATTTAAAAAAAAAATAAAACTTCACTGCCATTGAGTCGATTCCAACTCAGCCACCTCCATTGGGTTTCTAGCTGTAAACCTTTACGGAAGCAGAATGTTTCATCTATCTGCCAGAGAACGGGGCTGGTGGGGTTAGAACCACTACCGTTTTAGTTAGCAGCCACATGCCTTAACCACTACACTACCAGAGAACCTGAGGACAATGGTGAGCCAAAAAAATCAGCCTCAGATTTGTTT